ACTACCTACTACCTACTACCTACTACCTACTACCTACTACCTACTACTACTACTACTACTACTACTACTACTACTACCTACTACTACTACTACCTACTACTACTACTACTGCTACTACTGCTCTACTACTACTACTACTCCTACTGCTACTGCTACTGCTACTGCTACTGCTACTGCTACTGCCACCACCACCACCACTACCTACTACTAGTGCGAATGATAATAATGGTAGTAATACCGCCTATACTACCGCTACTACTACTTCTTCTGTTTTCCCACCACTGCTACGACTACTACTATATACTACTACTACTACTACTACCACTACTACGACTACTACTACTACTACTACGACTACGACTACGACTACGACTACTACTACTACTACTGCTACTACTGTACTACCACTACCACTACCAGTACTACTAATACTGCTACTGCTACTACCACCACCACTACTACTACTACTACTACCACGACTACTACTACTGGCCGAACAAGCGAATGGTTGGCCACTGACCCAGTCAACAAAAACATAAACACTAGCATCTATCGTAGCAACGATGTACATCGCCCGCCAACCGGCCGATAGCGTACCAACCGGCTTGCCGGCCGATCGCGTACTAGCAGGTTACCCGCGCTGTTTACTACCAGGAACCAGAAGCTACTAGGAGCAAGGGGCATCGCTACTAGGAGCAAGGACGCTACTAGGGGTTCCCGGCCTTACTATAAACTAGGAACAAGAAGCTACTAGGAGCAAAAGGCATCGCTACTAGGAGCACGGACGCTAGTAGGGGCTCCTGGCCTTACTATATATTAGGAACAAGAAACTACTAGGAGCAAAGGGCATCGCTACTGGGAGCAAGGACGCTACTAGGGGCTCCTGGCCTTACTACTAGGAGCAAGGACGCTAGTAGGGGCTCCTGGCCAAAGACCTTATCGTTTTCGATCTCCTGGCCTGCCTGCACGTTTGCAAACCTCAACTCGGCAGGAATGTCGCAAGGCGCTCGAGGTGGGTTGTTGAACCGCGCTCTGCGGCAGAGCGCTTTGAGATTCTCCAGCATTCTGTCCACACGTGCATGACCTCCAATGCCAGCAAGAGGCCAGAGTTGACCTAGAACTGTTTGCAGGCGCGTGGTGTCAAGGAGAACTTTGGAAATTGGAACAACTTCTACGACCTGAAAAGAGTAAAACGAGCGTGGCCCTTGACCAGTCCTCATGTGTGATGTGATGTGGCCCAGATTGTGCATTGCTGCATTGCGGGTATTACGCATAATCAATCATAATCAGGTGCAATTGCTTTGAACATCTTCACAAGGTTTGCAACGTGATGCCACCGGAGCATCGCGCGCTCACTTTGTACCTTGGCTCTAGTCACGTGCACAAATTGGGTCACAGGGAAGGATCAGATCTGAGTTGGGAGCCTCTTCAGGTCGCAGCTTCGGATCCTGGCCAACATGCTCCGTCCGTGACTAAATGATCAAGGAACAAGTCGGAACAAAGGTAGAATAGCTACTGTTGAGTCCTTAAGGGCTGTCGCCCGTCGGCTTCTCCAACAGGCTGTCCTTTTGATCTTGAACGAATGCCTTCGCAGCGGCAACCACAGTAGCTCAACGCGCGAGTTTCAACTCAAGAGAAAAACACCAAAAGCATCCAATACCGGGAAATAAGGCATCGAGGCCACCATAGCCACAATTGAGGCCAAAAGGGACTCTCTGAGGACCACTTGTTTCCCCAACCAACAACGGTTGGGACTTGAGGACGATGCAAGGTTACACTGCACTCCTATCTATTATTGGCAGGTTTGCTGATCGGCAGTGACATCACGAGAAAGGTGTGACTGTGGAAAGCACATTGGCACGCCCATTATGTCCAGACGCCATGGGCCCAACACATCCTCAAAGGATATCTGCAAAGACCACCCTACCTTCGGCCCAAGGCAACAAAAAGCATCTGTAGCACACATCCAGACGGTTGCCCTTTCCACCTAAATAAATTGGTGTGGCAGTTACAGAAAGCCGAGGCCCAGAGTGGTTTTCGTGATGAGGGAAGCGCCACTTTATTCCCCGGATAGCGAGAGCTATTGGGGTTCTTACTTCAAATATAGGATCAGGCCTCACAACCCAATCCTGCCATCTAGAAGCCCATGCATGGTTGCCCATAACATCATACACTCAGGTGACACTCCCAACGCACACACACAAGATCACACAAGGCATCACACGGGAGTGGCGGATATACTATGTAGTATTGGCGTGACGTGTTCTTTGTATTTCTCAACAATTGAAGGTTTGGGTCAAGTCTGTAATTAATATGTTTACCGATGCAAGTAGAGTCCAAAGATATGCCGAAGCAACTGTGCAAATCATACAAAGCATGTAGCGGCGGTTTGCACTAGCATGACCCGTTTTTAACAGTAGCAATTGCTTCGGTTGCCTTCACAGGGCAACGCTTCGTGGACTATGGCGGATTGCCTACATGGAATCGGGCAAGCTCTCGGGACTTGTGGAACAAAGACAAGGTGCACAAGTGAATTCAGCTGAACTGAACACAAGAGATTTAAAAACCAAAGATCTATTGTGTATAGATTCTGTTCGGTGCATTCGGTAGGTTTTGACTTTTGGCATTTCAGGGCTCGATGCCAATTTGGTGCTCCATTTATGTTAAATGCTGTGTTCCTATGTTGGTGTTCACTTTTATTTGTCTATTCCCTTCTTGAATGTTCCGATGGCCGGTGCCCCCCATTGCCTGGCGCTTTTGCATATTGGGAAGAATAGAGAACCAGTGGCGCCGCGGTGGTTTCTGATCAAACGATCCCATCAGCAACATGTTGATCAAATGATCTGTTGGGAAAGCTCTGCAGATTCCACAGATGAACGCCTTGGTTTCCTTCATTTAACACCTCTCACCAGTGCATCGACAATTGCGGTGCAGGAATTGCATGTTCTGCGGGACATTCTCCCCAGCAACAGCTCTTTCACTGAGTGCCTTGTTTCAGCCAACACCAAAGAAAGCAGAGCGAAACAGACGTGGTTGAAGCCAGCAAAGAGTGTGACATCATGCAGAAACAGGGGTGATGCTGCATTCCTTGTTCGTAATCTTATTCTTTCACTAACTAAGGTGTTTTCAATCCCAGCCCCAGCTGCCGGACACCTATGTGATTTGCCCAGAGGACTGGCGCTAACATGATAGCTTGCAAAGCTCTTTCAGGCATTCCCTATTGATAGCGAGTTGAAATTCCAGGATGTAAAGCTGGTGGAACTCTTCAACGCGATTGAACTCCATGCTGAGGACCGCCGAAATGGGAGCTGACATGGGAAGCCATTGTTGATTTTGCTGCCTAGAGGCACACCTTCTGCCGGAGAAGACCACCTACTATGTGGATGCTTTGTGCAGAAGGCGCTGCAGCAAACAGTATTGCCTTGATGCTTTGCTAACCACAGTCGTGCCAAAAAGGAGGGGCGAGTTGGAGAAGTCTGCCAATGACTCATCCCAAAAGACCCAGCGGCTGCTCTCAAGCACTTCGCGTGGAGTACTGTCTTGGACTTAGGAGGCTTAGGCGTCATCAACCGCATGGGTTGAACACTGTCAGGGACAACCCCATCCTGGTATTATTTTTATGTTATATATAACACAAGAATCCACAAAGTTAGGACATGGCAGCGAACACAGTGTATTTCCTTCTTCAGTTTTGTTTGCGTCCATGCTTGCATTTCATACTTCTTGCTCTATGACTGCTTGAAAGATGTGCAACAATGGAGAGGGCAGAAGTCAGGGCTTTTGCATGTTGTGAGGCTGATCTTGGACCAACCAACCAGCATGACTTGGCGACAAAATGTGGCCAGCTTGTACCCTTGACAGCAAACATATACTGTAATGCGTCTTGCTTAAATTCTCATTAAATTTGAATTCTATATAACTTATTTATTGTTTCTAATAGCTTTTTGTTACTAGTAGTATGGCCAGGAGCCCCTCGTAGCGTCCTTGCTCCTAGTAGTAAGGCCAGGAGCCCCTAGTAGCTTCGTGTTCCTAGTAGCGTTCACCAGTGTTTTGAACCAACATATTACATTAGTCTGCTTTACCTCCAATTCCAGGTGGTGCTTGTACGAGCTGTTCTTTGCGGAGAGACAGGCTGTATGTGTGTCCTTTGTGCATGATAGCCTTGCAATGTTTTGCTTCTGAGGGCCTGCTTTGGGACGTCGCTTGCGGAGAAGGTATTCTCGCAATGCGGGCACCTCTGTCCACTAAGCGGTGGGTGTTTGGCCAATTTGATTCACAGATTGCCTGGAATTTGGCACGGATACGTGTCAAAGCAGAAGCAGCGACGTGTACAGTGGCAGAGGAGAAAGACATCCTTTTAGCAAAATTGCCACTCGGCTCTGAACTATAGCATGCCACTCAACATGTTAAAGAAGTCTTAGGGCCTTTTAGGGCTCCTGCAGCAAGGTGCTCACAAGAATGAAGGGTTGAGTTTGATCCCATGCGCACTTTTGGCACGATTGAAAGCACTAGGCATTTGCAAAAGATATGCGGCCACAAGCTGGAGTAATATGCTGTAGATGAAAACACATTGTCAATTTCATTTGCGGTACTTTCTCTTCTTGTGCTAGTACTTTAATCAACCCGATTACAGCAACGCTATGACTGCTGAGGAATGAATTTGGGAGAAACATTGTCATGGAATTTGAGCAGAACATGACCGCGAAAGTTTCTCAGCTGGCATCAAGCGTTCACAAGTTTCGGAATGTTTCAGAGAGATTCAGGGGGGGGTTTAACAACTCTTCTTCTTTGGGCGACTATTTGCGACAGGTACCGTCCAGGATGCTTGGACCAATTCTTCGTCAGGCAGGTTGGCCGAAGAAAGATGAGTTCACTTGCAATTATTGAACATGGTGGCCTCTCCTGTCAAGCATTTATGTGGATGCACTCATGTCTCCAGGCTTCAAAAGAATCAGATGATCCTTCAAAATGGATCCCTGCAATGGTTGGGGGTCAGCTTTTTTGGTTCAGTTGCAAGGCTGCCTGCATGCAAAACGATCATGACATCCGACGACTGCGCGGAGCATGTGATATCATGGCAAAGCTTCGATGTTTCTTGGCATGACAGTGCTGATGGATCCCAGCATATAATATCATATAAGCACTTACAAACATGCAAAGGTATCTCAATACAATTACAAGGGTGCAAACACGAGCAACATTATTCACATTGGCTGACCGCCCAAGAGACTGCCCAGGATACACGGTGCAAAATAGCTTAAGGCGGCCTTTCTTTCACTAACCTACGGGGAGT